TTGGATCATTGCAACTTCTGCCTCCCGGGTTCAAGCGATTCTCCTGCCTCAGCCTCCTGAGTAGCTGGGATTACAGGCACCTGCCACCACCCCCAGCTAATCTGTTGTATTTTTAGTAGAGATGGGGTTTCATCATGTTTGTCAGGCTGGTCTCAAACTCCTGACCTCAGGTGATCTGCCCGCGTCAGCCTCCCAAAGTGCAGGAATTACAGGCATGAGCCACCGTGCCTGGCCGATTATTTCTTTTTTGTGAGATACTTTTGTGCCTTCTTGGGAATTTTCATAATTAAAATGATACCTAAAAATAAACAGTTGTGTGTTGAAGCCACTGCTATTTGGTTTTCAGTCATATGTGACTGAACCCAATCCTTTCTCAATTTATTGAACTTATGCAACTGCAGCAGATTGGGATGGGTTCACTTACAGTATGGAAATATTGAGCTTCACTTAAAGAACATTGGTGGTGGGATAAAAGTGGACTAAACAAAAATAGGTCTTCCTCAATCAGATGCTAAGAGCTAGCATTTAGTTATAACTTTTAAATATTTTATCTTAACATCCTTGGCCTCAAAATTGTCATAGTTCTCTTAACCACAATTTTCAAGTGGGTGGCAAATTCTACGTCATAAGTTAACATGTAAAAGACATACTTCTTCAAAATTTTGAACATATTTCATTGTTTTCTTACCTTCGCAGTGTTGCTATGGAAATGTCGGATAACAATCTGATGGTTATTCATCTTTACTGACCACTTTTATCTCTGCAATATTTTTATAATTTTCCCTTTGAATTTTTATTATAGTATGTTTAATATGGACTATTTAATTATCCATTCTATTTGGAACTCTCTGAACACATTCAATTTGAAGTCTTAGGTATTTGTTTAATTCTGAAAAATCCTCGGTACTATTTTTTCAAGTATTAGTAGTTCTTCTTTCCATTTACTCTTTTTTATTCTTTTGGGAACAGAATAACAATAGAATATGTGGGAATTAAAAACAACAATAACCAAAATTAAAAGCTGACTACGTGGACTCCATAGGAGAGTGGAGATGACAGAGGATGTTATTAGTTAACTGGAAGGCAGACTGAGAAAATTTACTCAGTCTGATCAGAGAGAAAACAGACTGAAAATAAATGAACAGAATGTCAGCTATCTGCAGGACATTAACATAAGAGCTAATCTTTGCATCCTCAGAGTCCCAGAAGGAAAGGAGAAAAAATGTGAGCCTGAAAATGTATTCAAAGAAACGTCTAATCAAATCTGCCCAAAGACCTAAAGCTACAAATCCAAGAATCTGATTTTATCGCAAATATAATAAGCCCAAAGAAATACACACCAAGACACAGCATAGATAGCCTTCTGAGAAGTAAAGACAAAGAAAATATCTTTAAAATGGCCAGAGAGAAATAATTATCTATAAAGGAACACCAATTCTAATTGTAGTGAATTTCTCATCTGAAACAATGGAAGCCAGAAAAAGGTGGCACAATATTGTTCAAATGCTATAAAAGACATACAACACAATTGAATAAATATTTCTCCAAGGGTATACAAATGAGCAAATTGTACATGCTCAAGATGAAGCTGTGCAATATCATTAATCATTAGGTAACTACAATTCAAAACGTAAGTACATTCACTGGATGGCTATAAACAGAAAGCCAATACAAGTATTGGAGAGATTGTAGAGAAATGAGAGCACTCATACATTGCTGGAGAGGGTGAAAAATTTGCAGCCACTTTGGAAAACTATTTGAGAGTTCCTGAAAATGTTAAACGTAGAGTTGCCATATGATCCAGTAGTTCTACTATTGGTTATGTACTCAAGAGAAATGAAAACATATGTCCACACAAAAACTTGTACATGAATAGTCATAGTAACACTGCTTATAGTAGTTAAATAGTGGAAACAAAATATCTGTCAACCAATAAATGGTAAACATATATATTCATTCAGTGGAATATTATTCAGCCTTTAAAAGGAATGATGTATTAATACAACATATAGCACAAGTACAGCTACAACATGGACAAGCCTGAAATACATTCTGCTAAATGAAAGAATCCAGTCACAAGGAACACATATTGTTCAATTATATTTTATGACATGTCCAGAATTGATCAAGAAATTTTTGATTTTTTTTAAAAATAATTTTTGATTTTTTTTGTCTATAAAGACAAAAATATTAGTGCCTGGGATTGTATATATAATAAATATATTGCCTGAGACTGTAGGCATGGGGACTGTGGTAAGCTGATAAATGTCCTCTTAAAAGATATCTGTGTCCTAATCCCTGGAACCTGTGATTGTTACCTTATATGGCAAAAAAAAAAAAAAAAAAGATCTTTGCTGATGTGAATAAGTTAAACATCTTGAGATGGGGAGATTATCCTGGATTACGCAGATGGGAACTACATACAATCACATGCATCCTTATGTAAGACAGCCAGAGGGGGATTTGAACACAAAGAGGAGAAAGTGATGTGAATATGGAGCAGAGGGAGACTGAAGATGCTGGCCTTGAAGACTGGAGTAAAACAGCCCCAAACCAAAGAATGCTGGCGGCTACCTGAAGATGGAAAGGCAAGGAACAAATTCTTCCCTAGAGTCTCTGGAGAGACTGTAGCCCTGTCGATGTCTTCATCTCAGTACAGTGTGATACTGACTTCAGACTTCTGCCTTCAGAATGGCAAGATAGTAAGTTAATACTGTTTTAAGCCACCCAGTCTGCAGTAATAGGAAATGGATCCAGGGAGTGCCTGCTAATGGGCATGGGGTTTCTTTGGGAGGAGGGGACATGAAAATGCTGTAAAATTGGTGATAGTTGTACAACTCAGTGAATATATTGAAAAGCACTGAATTGTATGCTTTAGGTGGGTTGGTTTTATATTATGTGAATTATAGCTCACAGAACTGTTGAAAAAAGTCACTGTGACCTTGGGTTAAGCAAAGATTTATTAGATATGACATAAAAATATGATCCATAAAAATTATATTTGGACTTCACCAAAATAAGTCAACATAAAGTGCTTCATACTGTACTATTTCCATTCTGGAAAGAGAGAAACGATAGGAAAAAACTCCACCAGATCAATGTTTGTCTGGGACTGAAGGGATGACTAACAAGGAGCAGGGGAGAGCTTTTGGGAATGATGGCACTCTTCTCTGTCTCCATTATGGCATTGGATACAAGTCTCTAGAACTCCCAGAACTGTTCATTGAAAAGGGTGAAAAGTACTGTATGTAAATTAGGCCTTAATTTTTTAATGGGAAAAATAAATATAAAGACAAAATACACTGCTGTGTTAAATCAAATGATGGATGTAAAAGTCTAATGTATACATATTTTTAATGATTTTGACCAATGCTTCCAAATTTCTCTTAAGAAAGGTTGAATCCAGTATGTACTTCCTCAGTCAGCGAGTGAGTGAACCCTTCTACCCTCATCAGCACAGTGATCCCGAGGGTCACACTTTTGACAATGCCTGGCTCAGTGCTGGGCACACTGTATCAGTTTCATAGAATCATGGATTCCAAGCCCATGAAGTCCCCACAAGAGATAAATCCTCCACTCCTGAAGCAGCTTACTGTTCTGATGGGGGAAGGGATGAAGGAACATACTGTGTATGTTGCGGATGGGAGATGACCTCTGAACTCAGGGAGCTCAGGAAGTTCTGAGGACTGGGTGGGAAATACTGAAAAAGGAAGGGCGAAGAAGGAAAACAAAACACACCTGTGAGCTGAGAGGTCTCAGGTGACAACTGTGTCTCATTCCTGTGCCCCCAGTGCCTACCTGGCCCCATGCATAGCAATGAGGTTGTGGGAATGAACAAATGAATGAATGAATGAATGAATGAGTGAGTGAATGAGTTGAGAGACTATAAGGGTCAGTCAAGATAGACTTCTTTGCTTGGAGCTTGGGGGTCCAACGTTAGTTTAAGATTGTGGCCGTGAAAGTTTGAGGACCTTTTACTCTGAGTCCTGTTAAAATGAATGAAAATGGAGACCAGGCCTGAAGAGTCCCTGCGAAAAAAAAAAAAAAAAAAAAAAAAAAAACAGGCCTCATAAGTGACCTCAACTTTGCTTGATTTACAAACATCAGTGAAACTTAACTTGAGCTATTTCTTGTAAATGTGTACATTAAGGAAGAACAGAACTTAAGCTCAACCAGTCAGAAGAAGCCAACAAGCTTATGTAGATAACTAGGGTCTTTCCAACAGGATAGGCCAAATAAGGGAACTGTATAACTGTAACCAATTAAATATTTTCTTCACTTTACTTGTCCTGCAGGAGTTTTCCCCTTGCATTCCCCTAGTGGAGCTCCTCAACCTCTTCTGCTTGGAGCTGCCTGATTCATGAATTGTTGTTTGCTCAAATAATCTGTTTAAAATTTTATTGTGCCTCAGTTTACCTTTTGACAGTCCCATCTAAGGAGTAGAAACGTGGCACTGGTGAGTAGGGGGAGCATACATAATCACGGGGGTCCAGCTGCGTCCCCACACACTGAAGGAGCAGATGGCACAGGTACTGGACATCAGAAATCGATGCTTCTGATTCTAGGCCTTGGGGTAAGTGAAGGGTGTGGTCTTGGACCAAGTGCTGGGTCATTTCCACTGGAGCTGGTGGCTGTATAGGCGAGATAGCGTTGAGCAGAAGGAAGTGGAGGGTGCTTGCCTGTATGCTGACAGAGGCTGGAGGCAGGGAAGGAAGGGGCTCTTGAGATGAGGTGGGTGAGGGGAAGTACTGCAGTGGCTATAGGAAGCCTGCACGAGGGACTAGGAGTCTAGAGGGAGCTGATGGTGAGTAGAGACGACAGGAGGAGAGGCAGAGAGAGGTATAGAGACAGGAGACGCGTGGATAGGGAAAAGGAGAGGCCGCTGGGGTGTGTATGAGACTGTGTGCATAGGCGTGTGTGTGTGTGTGAGAAAGTGAATAAAAGACAAAGACTGTGTGTGAGTGTATGTGCATGCACACCCATGTGTGAGAGTACAGGAACCCCTCCCTCAACCCAAACTTTATGCCCTGAGTCTTACAATTTGCATTTTTGCCCTTGACAAAAGTAAGATTTCAAGTGAGCCTGTAAGAGGATATTTGCAACAGTGAACACAAGTGACTGTTCTGAGCAGCCAGGAGCCTGGGGGAGAGAGAGAGGAAGGAACAGAAAGAATCTGCAATGAATGAATGAATGAGAGTTTATAAGAACTTCCCTGTGAATGTGTATATGTAGGAAACTAGGGTCAGAGATGCTCCATCTCAGCCTGAGAGCCTGCACCCCTGGGTCTCTGAGCCCAGAAGATTCCAGGAAAGTCTATACCTGAGGTTCCAGAAGCCTCACCCCAGTCCCCTAGCTGGATCCTAGGGACCAGTTTCCAGGGGAGACTGGGGAGGGCGGAGAGCCCTCTGTGAGTCCTCCCTGGCCTGGGGCCCCAGACTGGGTGGAGCAGCCACACCTGCCTGAAGTTCTGAGGAAAAGGGCGGAAACAGCTGCCAGCACCGCCCTCATCATGGGCTCAATGAATCCCTGCGGTTGGCTGGAGGCAGTGGGTCCCACACTGCCTCACTTCCCTAAATGGGCAGCTTCACTTTTAGAACCCCAGGTCCTTCCCTGGCAGGCCCAGGTGGCACATCCTGTGTCGGGTGGGCCGTCACCTTGGATCTCCAGGCCTGACACTGACCAGCTGGATGGAACCATGGCCCCAGCCTTCCTGCTGCTGCTGCTGCTGCTGCTGCTGTGGCCACAGGGTTGTGTCTCAGGTAAGGGGAGAAGGGGCTGCCTTGTGGAGGAGGGAGTGGGTACAGAGGCAGGAGCTCAGGGCCTTTTTCTTACCCTCCTTACCAGCAATTTTCTTGTTTAGTGTTTTGTGGGTTGGGGAAGGAGGAGATTAGGGCTGACTTAGTAGCTCTTTACCCTAATATCAGGCCCCAGGCAAAGCTAACCCAGGCCTCCCAAGCTAAGATAAAGCTCTGGACCCTCTCTGCATTGGCCCCTTTATCTGCTAGGCTTCCTCAGGCTTCAAAGCAGAGCCCTCAATTGCCTCACACAAATAGCTTTCTCTGCTTGGCCTCTGTCAGGAAGCCCTGTTTAGTTATGACAGCAATCATTGCATCATGCGTGCTTTGAACTGAATTTGAGCATTTTTCTTGAAATGCTGATGCCACATCCTGTCCCTGCCTCTGTCCTGAAGGGACCCGTGTGTGAATGCCTTTCCCACCTCACAGAAACCAATGCTCCTTGAGGGACCTCACCCATTCCTGCCCCTCTCGCTGCCATGGCAACAAAGTTACCACTTCCTGTTCAGTTCTGGGCATGGTGGGGGTTGGCAAGACTCACCACTGCCTGTGAGAGGGGTGGGAGGTGTAGACACACATGAAGACAGTGCCTTGGAGACCCATCCCAAGGTCACCCAACTCTGCACCTCCCAGAGAGTAAAGAAACAGCTTCCCAATGCCAGGGCAGAAAGGGGTCTCTCTTGTGCTAAGAAATCCTGGGCTCATCCTCCAAATAATGAAGTTGGATCATTCTGTTTAGTCTGCAAGGGACAGAGGGATGCTTAGAGAGGGTGTTGCCTTACGCAGAGCCTCAGCTCTAGTGGCTGCTGGGTGGGACTTGGGACAGATATCCTGGATTCTGGTGGGACAGATGTCCTGGGTTCTGGGCCCTTGACTGTCACAGCTCTGGGTTCCATTAGGGTAACTGGGAGCCCCTAGCATGTGGGAAAAGGAAGCATGCGTTGAGCACGCACTGTGTGCAAAGCACTGACCTGGGGCAGAATTCTCATAGCAACCTGTGAGGGGTGTGGTGCTCGTCTCACTTGACTGATAAAGAAGCAGAAATACTTCTGTATCAGTCAAGTGTCTGTTTTGATATTTCTGTATCAAACAGGTGACCTGATCACACTGCTAAGTGGTAAAAACAGGGTTTCAACCGTTGTTTATTTTGACTCCAAAATGTGTGCTCTCTGTTCTCTACTATGGGGAAGAGTCTTTTTATGTGTGTTTTTGTGGAAGGCTCTGGGGTGAAATTATCACAAGAGTCAGTGGTGAGCTTAGGGCAGGCAGGGGGTGGAGGGACCCCACGGCAGCTTTCTCCCTCTCTCTGTCCCCTGAGTCACCCTGCACACCGCAGTTCTGCTCTCTCTCTACCAGACTGTGGATTATGAGGGCTTGGACCACATCTTACTCCTCAGCATAGAGAGAAAGATATTGCAGGTGGAAAGTGAATAATTGTAGAATCCTGTAGTTCACACACCCTTGGGAGTTTGTTTACATGTACATTTGGACAGGCTTGAGCTATGGGTTTTATGTAACTAGGATATTTTAAAACTAAACACCAGCTAGAATGAACTAAGGAAACTTATTATTTAAAGAGGACTACAGTGAACCTATTTGTGAAATAAATAACTATTAATCATTTTTTTCAAATACTGGATTTTCTTATCTACCTAATTAGCTGGGCACTGAAATTTCAGAACTTAATGACTTGTATTTGTGTCTCTGCATCTGTCTCACTGAGGGCATGACCTGGGTTTTTCCCACAGGAATTTCCTGGGAGGCTGGGCGCAGTGGCTCACGCCTGTAATCCGAGCACTTTCGGAGGCCAAGGCAGGTGGATCATGAGGTCAGGAGATCAAGACCATCCTGGCTAACACGGTGAAATCCCGTCTCTACTAAAAATACAAAACATTAGCCGGGCATGGTGGAGGGCGCCTGTAGTCTCAGCTACTCAGGAGGCTGAGGCAGGAGAATCGTTTGAACCCAGGAGGTGGAGGCTACAGTGAGCTGAGATCACGCCACTGCACTCTAGCCTGGGCGACAGAGTGAGACTCCGTCTCAAAAACAAAACAAAACAAAACAAAAATGAATTCCCTGGGAATCCCTGAAGACAGAGCTTGTCACTCTCCCATCAGACTAGAAAATACCATGAGGAAAGGGGCTGTGTCTGAGGGAGCTCCGAGTGTAAGTGCTGCATATCCTCCATTAGACCTGGGGCTCCCTGAAGGATATACCTGCCTCCTCCATCGGACTGAAAGCTCCCTGAGAGGGGGGCCTGTGTGTCCCCCGTTATACTGGGAACTAGCTGTTTTCAGGGCCCGTTTACCTCCCTTCAGGCTGGGGAAAGCTCCCTGAGGATGGGGTTATGTTTCCCCATCAGTCTGTGGTTTTCATGACAGCAGGACAATATCCACCTCGCCCTTCACCATGATCTTCAACCTTCATGATACCTTCTTCCTCTCCTCTTGCCAGAGTTTATTCAACAAGTCTTGTCTCCGCAGGCCCCTCTGCTGACAGCGTATACACAAAAGTGAGGCTCCTCGAAGGGGAGACTCTGTCTGTGCAGTGTTCCTATAAGGGCTACAAAAGCCGCATGGATGGCAAGGTTTGGTGCAAAGTCAGGAAGAAGAAGTGTGAGCTTGGCTTTGCCCGAGTCTGGGTGAAAGGGCCCCGCTACTTGCTGCAGGACGATGCCCAGGCCAAGGTGGTCAACATCACCATGGTGGCCCTCAGGCTCCAGGACTCAGGCCGATACTGGTGCATGCGCAACACCTCTGGGACCCTGTACCCCTTGATGGGCATTCAGCTGGATGTGTCTCCAGGTGAGTGGGCTGCAGGGGCACTGGGATGGGTGGAGGGAGTCCTCCCTGCCCCACACTCCACTAACATCAGAGATAATAAGGATAATAATCCATCAATGGACATGTTGCACTGTAGTGTTTTCAAAGTGCCTTTATGGCACCATTCATGGCACTATTGTCACCATTTTACAGATGAAGATAATGAGACCTGAAAACCCAATGTAACTCTGAGCTTGTCTGGGGTCCCAGAGCTAGCGGGTGACTGAGATGAGGTTCAAACTCGGCACTGTCTGTGCTGTGTTTTATTCACTCATTGCTTCAACATAATTTACTGAGCCCCTATTATGTGGCAGGCACTATTCTAGGCTCTAAGGAGACAGTAGTGAGCAAAAATGCTCACAATCCTGCCCTATGGGAGATGACAGGCACACTTATTATCCAGACAAATAATTGCAGAAAACAAGAGCTGTTCATAAGAAACTGGGAAGTATTTCAAATAATTGCAGATAACTAGAGGTCTTCATGAACTAGGAAGTGACTCGGTGGTGGGGGAGCTAATGAAGTACTGGGGGTCAGAGAACACTTCCCTGAGCAGGCAACACCAAGCAGAGCCCTGAACAGTGAGCGTTCTCCAGCCCCCCATCTGGGTGCTTTGAAGGGCACTTTGTGGCAACAGCTAAATGTGCAAAGGTCATGAGGTCAGAAGGAGTTTGGCTTGTATAAGGCTTATTTAGTCGCTCCATATGGAGTGTGAGGCAATGAGCGATGAGGTTGGAGAGTCAAGCAGCCCCAAAGACCATAAGTTGGAATTTGGGTATAAGAGGAAGCTACTAGAGAGCTCAGAGAGCTGTGTCATGATTTGTTTTTAAGAATGTAGTGGCCACTTGTTGAGGATGGATTTGAATGGTATGAACATGGGCAGAGAGGCCATTGTGGGCATCTGGCTGGAAATAACAGTAGCCTGGAGTACAATGTAGGCACTAGTGGCAGAGAGATGTGAATGGGCTCAAATCTATGTTTTTCAGACTTTCCGTTCAGCTCATCTGTTTTGGAGGTAGGATAGGATTTGCTCAGTTGAGAGGTGAGCCAAAAGGGGGAATCATGGATGATCCAAGGTTTTTCTATTTGATCAGCAGGTGGATGATGGTCCCCTTGATAGTGTAGGGTAAATCTGAAAGAGGAGCTAATTTGGAGGAGAAAAATCAAGAGCTCTCTTTTGTCATGTTAAGTTTAAGATACCTCCTAGAACCAAGTGGGGAAATGCAGCCAGCAGTGATATACCTGCCTGGAGCTCAGGTGAGAGGTCAGAGCTGGGGTATGTATTTGAAAGTATCTCTATAAAGATAGTGTTTTAAGTCCAGGGAATTAGAGAAATCTATAGACCCAGAAAGTAGATTAGTGGTTGCTCAAGGCTGGGGGAAGGAAAAGGGGATACAGAGTCATAGCTAAATGGTAAGGGGTTTCTTTTGGAGATGATGAAGATGTTCTAAAACTCACTGTGATGATGGTTGCATAACTTTGTAACCATAATAAAGAGCCATTGAGCTTTATACTATAAATGGGATATGAGTTATATCTCAATAAAATTGTTAAAAATGTCAAGATCTAAAAGCTCTCCCTTGAGTGTAGGTAAAAAAGCGTGGAGCACCAAGCCATGGGGTCCTTCCACATTTATTAGATAGAAAAGGGAAAGGAGTCAGCTAAAGAGCCCAAAAAAGGCAGCCAGTTATTACGCAATTTACTATCCACCCTTCCCCATTCGCCTAACTCAATTGCATCTCCATCTTCCATGGGGTCTGAACTAGGGAAAATGCTGTCGCTAAAATGTGGAGCCAAATCTCATTCCTCCCCTCTCCAGTTCCGAGTGAGATCCAGGGAAGTTGAAACTGGTTCACTGAAGTCTTAATATGTAGGGATAGAAACATTAAACATTACATGCTTTTATTTTTTCTCATCATTTCCTCTAATCGTGTTATGTCAAATCTCACTTTCTACCTCTTAAGGACAATTTGTGAAGATTTCAACTTTGCAGGACCTTTTCGGTTATCAGGAAATAAGAAAATCCTTAGTCCAACTACAAACTCTAGTCATCTAGCAGTGTAGGATATTCCACCATCCCTGAAGACCAGGTTGTATGGTCCAAGGCACCTAAAGTGGAGAAAGAAGGTTGCTGGCTGCCCAGCTCCCCATCCTGCATCTTGGGCTGTGGAGAAGGCGGGGTTCCTCTTTGTTACCTCTTCTTAGCCCTCTTAGTGTGTTGATGTAGGAATGAGGGAGAGGGAGATGGTTATGTGGCTTAACTGAGTGTTGTAGGAATGCTGTCTCTGTTGGATGTCATTCCTTGTCTGCCAGCCCTTTGAGATCCTCTCTGAGTGTCCACATACTCTCCTAAGGCACTAATGTGTGAGTTCTCTGAAGAATTCTTTAGGGGTGTCCCCACTGCCGAGTATGATGATGTGGGAGCTCTGACTCCAGGTGAGCCTCTTGCTCTATCCCTATCCTCACCAATGCTGCTTGCTCTGGGTCCCCTTCCGTAGAAAAATGGGTCAAGCTCAGCCACCTTCCATGAAGACCATTTGGCCCTTAGGAAATTGCCCTTTCCATGCACAGTAGTGGGATGTAGCAGCCTCTGTCTCCAATTTTCTCATTCTGTGCTGAGACAAAACCAACACTCACTGCTAGGTCGATGCCTCACAGCTCCTCAACCTCCCTCCTCATCCACTATCCAAAACCCAGGCTTCTTCTAGAAAATGGGGTGGAAAAGGGCTGGGTTGATGGGTGAGTTTAGCAGGACCAGTTTGATATCTCTTAGTGAGTCCCCAAGGAAAGTGTCTGACCCCAAGTGACTGCAGCTTTCTTTGGAATTTGAGGCCCTTAATGCCTCCTTGTCCTCATCTCTGGACACTACTTGTCAATTATGGAACAGCTGGAAAAGTCCCTGTTCGACATTGTTTTTTGGAAATCTTTTTGGCCCATAGGAACGAAGAGGGCCTGGAAAGTGACAACAGAGAAATGGGGATGGAGAGGGAACAGGTGGCCTGACATGGGAGGGGAAAAAGAAATTGTAGTAGTCTCTCCCTTCTTCAGTATGCCTACTTCCTTCCTCCTGATATTATTTTCTGAACAAATACACATCTGATCACTCAGCAGCCAGAATCCTAGGCCCAAGGTCAAGGAGAAGAGAAGAGGACAGGCCCCCATCCAGGCTTCCAGGCAACTGTGTGGGCTGCCAGGATCTGCTCCCAGCACTGAGGCCCCCAAGTCAGTCTAACGTTCCTCCCTTTCTGTCCTTCAGCTCCCAAAACTGAGAGGAACACTCCTTTCACACATCTGGCCAACATCCTCAAGAGTGGAACTGTCACAACTGGCCAAGCCCCTACCTCAGGCCCTGATGCCCCTTTTACCACTGGTGTGACGATGTTCACCCCGGGACTCCTCACCTTGCCTAGACTCTTGGCCTCCACCAGACCTGCCTCCAAGAGAGGCTGCAGCTTCACTGCCACCAGCACTACCAGCCAGGGACCCAGGAGGACCACGGGGTCCCAGACAGTGACTACATCTCCCAGCAATGCCAGGGACTCCTCTGCTGGCCCAGAATCCATCTCCACTAAGTCTGGGCACTTCAGCACCAGATCGCCCACCACAGGGCTCTGCCTCACCAGCAGATCTCTGCTCAACAGACTACCCTCCATACCCTCCATCAGGTACCCATGGGGCCTGGGGTTGAGTGGCACTAGCACCTAGTGCCCAAACAGACCTGGAGGTGCAAGTCTCATATCTGACCTTCCCCTTTTGCTCCCCAGGAACCCAATGTGGCCTGCTTCTGAATGGGAGGTGGGGGACTGGAAGTGACATAAAGAATGGCAATGGAGAGGAGAGGCAGGAGAGAGGAGGGCCAGGGGAAGGGAGGGTCATGAGGAGGAGGGGCAGGAGAAAGAGGGGTCAGGAGAAAAGAGAGTCACTGGGGATGAGGGTCAGGGGAAAGGAGGGTGGGGAGAGGAAGGGCAGGGAAAAAGAGGGTCAGTGGGGAGGAGGGGCAGGGGAAAGAAGGGTGGGGACAGGAGGGGAGAGGAAAGGAAGTGGGGGAAGAGGATCAGGGAGGAGGAGGGTCAGTGGGGAGCAGAGTTGGGGGAGGAAGGTGGGGAAAGTGTCAGCAGAGAGGAGGGTCGGGGATAAAGGTTGGGGGAGATGAGGGTTGCAGGGATGAGGGCAGGGGACTATGAGAGTCGGGGGCATTAGGGTCAGGGGGATAAGGATGGGGGGAAGTGAAGGTTATAGGGGAGGAGAGTCAGAGAAGAAGAAGGTCAGTGGGAGGAGTATCAGGGGAGACAGGGGTTGTGGAGATGAGGGTAGAGGGCAATGAGAGTTGGTAGAATTAGGGCCAGGCGGGATGAGAGTCAGAGATGAGCATGTCAGGGGATGGGTGGCCTGAAGAGTCTATGGATGGAGAGGAGAGGGTGAGGACGGGGCAAGGATGTGCCTCATGGAGTAGGAAGTGGAAAATGGGGGTTGCTTTAATTTGGGTTTCTCTAGAGAAGCTGACTCTGAGGCAGGGATATGCATCTTATATGGAACACTGAAAAAAAGGTAGGGTAGTGGAACAGGGCAGGGAAGGCCTCTAATAAAGAGTACTTAACCAGGCAGCTACTGTGCACAAGAGCCTAATCCCAATGGGGAGAGTCAGATCCAGCGTCAAACACACATCTACAGGGCAGAGGAGCCCGTGTAGTTACATACCAACTCCAGCTGGTCATCGGTAGAGGGCTGCCTGCTGTGTGTGGCATGGGGGACTCTAGTGACAAGAGAAAGGCCTCAGTCTCCCGCCCACAGAAAAGGAGGTGCTGATGACCTATATGTGGAAATGATACTGGCAAGGGGATACAGGCAGGGGCCCGACAGCATCTGCTACAGAGGACAGAGTGGGGAAGAGGCATCCTCAAGCCCCTTGAGGAGAGCAAGCATCTTGATCTCTTAGCCACAAATGGGAGTCTCCTAGAATCCTCATCCTCACTGATGAACAGATTTGGGGGCATAATGGAGGAGAGGTACCAAAGTAGAGAGATGCTCCCCTCTACCTGGGGATGTCCTCCCCTTAACTCCGGATGTGATACTTGCTTCTATGGCCGGGTCTGCAAGGAAGAGAGTGGCCGTCTACCCTGAGAAGGGCGTGCTCTCAGGGTTTCTGCTGCTGGTCCGAACCCAAAGTGGGTTAGGATGGGGGACCTTGGTGCTCACCCACTTCTGCCCTGTCCCTTCTCCTCAGGCACCAGGAAGTTTACTCCACTGTGCTTGTGGTGGTGCTGACCCTCCTGGTGCTGACCCTCCTGGTGCTGATGCTGATCATAGTCTATGGGTTTTGGAAGAAGAGATACATGGCAAGTGAGTAGAGCCCACCTCCCAGCCTCCTGAGGGCAGAGCTCTGGGTAACTGCACTAAGGGTTATGACCTCAAGTCCCCAAGTGATATGGCCCTTGGCCTGTGTCTAGTCAAAAGGACCATGAGGCTTCCACCTGGGGAGGAGGGCGGCCAGGCAGAGACCACCCAACACAACCCTAATGTGGTGACCTGGAAGGAAGCAGAGGCAGAGCCAGAAAGGGGCTGGGGCTGGTGGAGGAGCATCGGGGCACTGTGGGCAGGGGAGGGCCCTTCCTCAGCTCTCCCTGTTTCTTGCAGGCTACAGCATGTGCAGTGATCCTTCTAGAGGTGACCCACCTAGAAGACCAGAGCCGCATGTGGAAGTCTGCTTGATCTGAGGCCACTTATGCATTGGGAGGGGAGCTTCTCCCAGAGTGGCCCCAGGGGGCTAGAGGAGGGGTAAAGATTGGGGCCAGTCTGGATCAGATGAAGCTGGAGGACTTGTGCAGTGCTGGACTCACCCAGGACTTCCCAAAACCAGAGGCTGCCATCCTGAGCAGCCCCACAGCCCAGTGTTCTCCTGGGCGGCAGGAACCTGGGGAGGGGCCCAGAGCAAAAGGCATCAGTCAGAAAGTCTCGAGGAAATGTGTCCAGTGGTTTCTGCTCGGAGCTGCAGACCCCAGGGCTCTTGGTGGAGGCAGCGGAACCCTGAGAGTGCTGTTTACAGAGAACCTCAGCTCCCATCTGCCTCAGAAACCCTATCAGGCTGAGCTGTCCTCCCCACCAGGGCCACTGTGTCCTCTGCTTCCCTCTGCTCTGCTTCAGCCTCCTCTAAGTTTGGGGAAGAAAGAGTTGGGCTCATGATTCCCAGAGGTGGTGATGTCCCATCCTGGAGGAGAGGAAACAGTGACTAAAAGCTGGGGACCCACAGAGGAGTTGGCAGCTTCCCTTGTCAGGCCAGGTGTCCTTTGCTGGGCCTCTGGATGGCCCTGCCCTGACTGGGGCTGCTCCTCCCTCCTGTCCTGGTACCCCGCAGAGCCCACGCTCTCACTGCTGCCACCTGCTGGCCGCTGCCTCCTTAGAAAGCTATGACCAGGCAACTAAGAGCTTCCGGGCTGCAGGGTCAGCCTCTCCCAAGACTGAAGTGCAGAGGCTGGACTTGGGGCTCTCTCCCCCAGCTTCTACACCTAGGTTCCAAGTCTGAGTTCCCACAGGGGACCCAGCAGCCTCCAGCAAGTCCATACCCTGGGGTGGCTGAGACTTTGGCTCTGTATGGAGGGTGCTCACCCCACAGACACTGGTAGAGAGACCATGGCTCAGAGGAAGGGTGGAGCACCCCCACTCCCCCACTCCTACTCCTCAGGGTAGAGAGAGAAGACACACTTGGGACACAGTGAAGACAGCAACTTGGAACTGACCACGGCCTGGAGGACCAGCCCAGGCAGGGGGACAGGGAAAATGGAACCCAAGTAGCCTCTGGCCAGGGACCCAGTGGCCCGAGGACTCTGCCTCCCACCCACTGACTCAGGGCTCGGACTCAGCCTTTATTGTCCAGACCACTGGCTTGGGGTCCAGCAGTGAAGGCTGGAGAATGCAGCCTGGATTCCCCTACACACACACACACACACACACACACACACACACACACACGGGTGTCTACTGACCTGGAGTGACTGGAATAGCACCTGGGGATAAATGTGACAACTGTGCATTCAATCCTGGGTCAGGGACATTCTAATGGCCAGGAGAGTGATACAGCCAGGACCTTGATGGACAGCCAGAGGGGCTACTTCAGGGTGGATGTGGGGAGAGTGGAAGAGGCAGGAAGTAATCCTGGGAGACAGCAGGGAGGAGGCACTTCTTCCCTATGTCCAGGAGAGGGCAATAGAGGGAAGACTGAGGCTGAAGAACTGATGGCTCTGGTCCCAGAACAGACAGACAGACAGACAGACACACACACACACACACACACACACACCCATCTCTGTAGGAAGCAACCTCCTATGATAGCTGTTCTCCCTGTCATGATGGTATAGCCACCATCCTGTTGTGTGCTAGGAGGGAGCTTAACCTACCTGGAGGAAAATAGCTCCCCAAGAGCTCGCACCAGCACCACTGATAAACCTGCTTCCTCTGAGAGTGAGATGCCCAGGGGGAGGAGCCCTAGGGAATAGGTCAGGGACAGGGACCAGGATGCCACTCTGTCACTGTGTGACCCTCAGCATGTCACTAACCCTTGGCCTCATTTTTCCTCTCTTGTGAAAGAGGACAATAATTCCTACTTCTCAAGATTGTTTTCAAGATAAAATAATATTAGCATTGTACAATGATGCAAATGCCTCATTACTATTGTTTCTTAAGTTGTTTTCCAGCTCTAATGTTGTTTCCCACATTACTTTTAAGATCTTAGGATTCTATTTCTTAGTTTTGTCCTATCTGTTCCCAACTGTCATCACTATATGGATGTTGGGGTCCCCCTGATGACAGCCCCTTTGGAAAGGTCCTCTTTTGAGGAGGGGAGGGTACAGGGTGGACTCATCTCAGTGTGAACTTGGCAAGTCACTATCCCTCTCTGATCCTGTTTCCTCATCTGGAAAAGGAATGAGAGAGGAGAAAGGAAGAAACCAGTCAGGCAGGCAGTTAGGGTGGGTTCTCGGTTGAATTCTTTTAAACAAAAGAACAGCCTGAAAAATCAAGCTGCAGGCAAAAATACAGGAATTAGTACAGCGGGCTTGCCTAAGACATGCCCACAGCCTCACAGATAAGACAGACTACACAAGTGACTTGCCCAAACATGCCTGCAGTGAAAAATTTCGTCCCCTGACATGTGCAATAAGGGTAACAAAGCAATATGGAGTAACTCAAGCTAAGGGCCCACATGCACATTAGAAGGACAGGGTGAAGCTACCATTTGCCTTATGCAAATGAGTCACCCAGTCCTCATCAGTTTGTTATAAAAACCTTTGCATTCAACTGTAAAAATGGCAACCCTCTTTCAGGCCCCCTCTCTACAGCAGAGAGCTTTCTTCTCTCACTCATTAAACTTTCACTCCAACCTCATCTTTGGTGTCCACGCTCCTTAATTTTCATGGTTGTGAGACAAAGAACTCCAGTGATACCTCAAACAACAAGAGATGGCTACATTGTGGTGCATTGGTGAGACTGTAACAGGAGGGTGGAGATGCTCTGAAGCCTCTTCTCACTTCATCTGGTATGTGTGTCAGAGGTGTTTAAACTGGAGTGACTCCATCTTGTATAGAGGCTGGGTAAAATAAGGCTGAGACCTACTGGGCTACATTCCCAGATGTTAGGCATTCTAAGTCACAGGGTGAGATAGATTGGCACATTATATGTAAATTATAATGCATTAGCATGCTAAGGGACACTCCCACCAGCGCCATGACAGCTTACAAATGATATGGCAACATCAGGAAGCTACCTTATATGGTCTGAAAAGAGGAGGAACCCTTAGCTCCAGGAATTGCCCACTCTTTTCCTGGAAAACTCATGAATAATCCACTCCTTGTTTAGCATATAATCAAGAAGTAACAATAAATATAAGCAGCTAAGCTGCCCATGTTCCTGCTCTATGGAGTAGCCTTTCTTTATTCCTTTACTTTTTTAATAAACTTGCTTTCAGTTTACCGTATGGATTTACCCTGAATTCTTTCTTGTGTGAGATCCAAGAACCCTCTCTTGGGGTCTGGATCAGGATCCCTTTCCAGTAATATGTGCAGAACAGTTGCATGGACACAGCTCAGCATTAAGTGAGGTGGGGCACACTGGGAAAGAACAGGAGCCAGCCCTGGCCTCAATCTGCTCACAGCCTCTGAGGGATGGGAAACACGGCGCTGTTGGGTACACCCCAGACCTTACACTGTGTGGTGAGACACCATAGTGCAAGAGATAGGAGGTCCTCAAGTCCGTCCAAGATGGGGAAACTGGGAATCCTGCGGGCTCTGGCCAGCTAGGCAGGCTTCAGGGAGGAGGTGGGGCTCTATCTGAGGCCCAAACCATGGGGCGGAGTCAGGAGGTGAGATCTAGTTGCAGAGACTGCACAGGCCATGGCAGCTGGAAGCTGTGGGGTGGCTTGACGAGAAGGGGCTGTGGAGGGTGAAAGGGGACATGGCCATACACCAGGTGGTTGCTGGACCCAAGAGGAGGCCTTTAGCTGTGTCCTGAAGTAGGGCATGGTAGCTGTGAGGGTGACCAACTGTCCCTGTTTGTCCCTAAGGGGTTCCTGGAACCAAGTGAACCAGCACAATTTGCTCACCCTAGGAGCCTGCTCCCGTAAGAACTTCCATGGTAAGGACACAGGGGGCTGAGGAGTTATAGACCAAGCCTCGTATCCCTAGTCCCAACTGGACACTTTCCTAAACACGCCAGCCTTTCACTTCCTCCCTCCTCTCTCAACCTTCTTCTTGAAGCTCCGGGGACCCAGATCCACAGCAGATCCACGGCAGGAAGATGCAGGGCAAGTGGGGCATCGGACAGGCTGCTCACTTTAGCAGGTGAGACAACAAAGCTTCCAGAGCAACAGGCTGTGGACACAGAACACACACCTGGGAAGGGCTGATCATCATGGCCAATGGAAGAACAAATAAAGTAAATCCAGCACCTCCTGGATGTAGACATGCCTGCATGGAGTCCAGCAAGCAGGCATTAGGTTTACAGTTCTCTTCAATGGCTGCAACGTGCCTTCACTCTGGATCAGATCGAGAGAGTGGATGCCGTGCTGCCGGCTCCTCATGCAGGACATTAAGAGTGGTGAGGGCAGGTCTCCTCTGCCAGCTCCCTTGGAGTCTTCCTCAGCTTCAGAGAGCCGCCTTGCCAAGGCCAGATTCCCCTCCCAGGACACTCCACCTCCCCTGACTGATTGACAAGTCCTCAAGGGCCATCCTATCTTCGGAACTCCTCCCAGGATAGCCTGAGTCTCCTTATGGCCTCTATTGCAACCTGACTTCTCCTTCTGCCTGTGAAAGGAAAATAAATCTCAGAACCCCAAAATCACTAAGCCAGGGGAAAAGTCAAGCTGGGAACCACAGCAGGCAAACTGGCCTCCCATTTTATTCCTAAATAAGATAACTACAAAGATTTAAAAACTATGTACCTCCCTCACAATTTGCCCACAAGACAATTCTTTGTGGGCCTCAAGATCTTGGCCCTAAAACAGTTCTGTTGATTTTCACCCTGGCAATGTAAACTGTTAGCTGATCTCCACAGGTGTAGGACAGAAAGTCATCCCTCTGCTCACCTGGGACGAATGCATATCTGATTGCTTCTCTGCCCTATTGTTTATGTAAAAATGCAGATTCACCAAACCAGAGTAAATTGTGTATTCAGTGAAAAACTGATAGAGGACTCAAAAGAATGCAACCTTTTGTCTGTTATTTATCTACGACTTGGAAGTCACCTTTCCCATTACCCCATCCACACCCACCCTGGACCAAATGTACATTGGTCCAGACCGAGCCAATGTGCATCTTACATATATTGATTGATGTCTCATGTCTCCCTAACATGTATAAAAACAAGCTGTGCCCCAACCACCTTGGGCACATGTCATCAGGGCTCCTGAGGCTCTTGTGGGCCTGTCCTTAACCTTGGCAAAGTAGACTTTCTGAATTGACTGAGGCCTGTTTCCTGCTCTTCTCCCCAGACATTGGTCCCAGAGCGGTTTAAATCTCCAGTGCTAATCCGCACCTGACTCTGTGCCCAGGAACCCAACCTGCAGCACCACAGTTTTACAGTTTTTCTTTTCTTTGTTGTTTATTAACTGTCAATAGCCTGTGAAAATTGATTTTCTATAGTTCATATAAGGACAATTTTTAAAAAATGTGTTTGATTAGTGTCATCTTTCATCAAAGGCTCTGGAGTGATTTTGGCAGCTCAGAGCTGGGGAAGGAGATGATCTGGGGGCTGAGATACCCTTTCCTCTCCTCCTCCCATCCCCATCTTCCCCTCCCAAGGCTTTACTCTCTCCCACCTTTGCCATAGACACCCCCTGCACCTCCATTCCTGGAAGTAAATCTCCATCTCTTTTCTCCTCTTCCCCTCCTGTCCCCATGGAACTCCCCAGCTCCCAGGCAGGCCTGGGCATGAAGTCTCTGAACCCTGGGAGCCGGGGGTCTTCAGGTTCTGGTCAGACCTCCAAAAGGCCCCCAACACTGTCACTCACCATCAGCCTGTGCGTTAGCTGGGTGAGGAAGAGAAACTTCAGGCTGGGGAGGAAGTGGTAGAACAGAGGGGAGAGAGGAGAAAGAGCTTTTTATTTCATCATAGTTTCTTCCTGGACTTTCCCAGCTTTCCCCACCCACAGCCCTAGTGGGAGGGAGGTGGCCTGAAAAGCGGGAAGACGCTAGGGCCAGAGGAGCCCAGCAGGAGCTACAGAGTAGAGGCTGAGGCTTTTCCAGGCCCAGATGTAGACCCTGCAGCTGGAGGGGGTCATATAGGCCAAGGTGTCCCTCTTCCTCACAGGCTTCCTGCTTCCTCAAGGGAGGCTTTGCCTTCCTCAGCAATTCATCCCCAGGGCCAGATCCTGCCAGCGCTGGTTCCCACTCCCCAGGGGTTCCCCACTCCTTCACTTTCCTCCCACCACCCCGGCTCAAGAAGAGGACCCATGACCTTGGAGGCCACACACCCGCTGTTGAGAGCCCTGCTGGTACTCCTGGCCTCAGGTGAGGGGAAGGGGAGCAGGGCCAAGGGAGGGGGACAGCAACCTTTGTCTTACAGAGTTGTTGTGAATATTCAAGGAGAATACAGACTTGAAGGGCCCAGTCCAGTGCATAGAATATGACCAGGGCTGTTTCTTTCACCTCTGTCCCCCTTCCAGCCCTTGACCGTGTACCTGTAAGAGCAGGAGAGCTATCCCAGAGTACTGTGGGTCTAGGGAAAGGGCACACTCTGTAGTTACCACAACCTGTGGCCTGCTTTGTTTTCTACCTCTGCCTGATGGTTTCCAGGCCCCAGCCACGGGCACTGACAGTGTCTTCCTGCCTCTGTCGTCCCGTCCCTTCTCTCCATCCACCATCACTGCAGACGATGAACACTGGGCTCTTGCAAACCATACTTTCTTGCATCAAGAGATTAAATCAGAAACCAACGGGTGCTGATCACCTGAGCTGAGAGATGTCCCTGAACTGCTTGTCCTTCCCCTTTGACATTTGACACCCCAGACATTTTCCCTAAAATCCTGCTCTGGTATAAAACAGTCTACCTTTGTGTTCTTCCTTTGACTTAAAATGGGACCTATTAAAATGTATTTTTTAACTGGGAGAGTCGTTTGTCAATGACATACATCAGTATACTCTGAGAGCTCACTGCGTCTCCTAGAGAAGGGTTGAGCTTAAGGACCTGAGACAGAACTGTTAAGGGAAGGGTACCAGGAGAGCTGGGTGGAGACCCTGCAATAGGGGACCAGATGGAAAGTCAAGGGATAACAGTTGCAAAAGGGAAAGAGACAAGGACTTGAGATAGCACCAACATTCCAGTTTTACAGAGAAAGAAACCGACGCTGAGGTGGAATGACTTGCCCTAGACAACACGGCTTGTGGAGCAGAGCCCCGACCACATGGCTGCCTACTGGTCAGCTGAGCCGAAGGGGACCTCAGGACAGGCTGGAAGCTGGGGAGGGCCTGTGGAGACAACAGGCATGACGGGAGGGATGATTTTCAGGGCAGGAGGTTGGTCTGGGCTCTGACTTTCCTCACCAGGCGGGTCCTTATTCCAAAGCCCCCCAGTCAAGTCCATCATCCTGGGTGTGGCAGTGGCCATTGTGCTGCTGCTGCTGTTGCTCGTCCTCCTCAGCAACCAGTACCTCCAGAAAGCCCAAGGAAGAGCTAGGAAAGGTGAGTCCTGGTCACTGGCTCTGAGCAGGCAGCCAAGTGCTTAGCCATTTCTAAGGCAGCCTGAGAGCCATGAGGACAAGGATTCTTATGCTCATTTTACCAACCAGGAAACTGGGGCCTGAGAGGTAAAGTGGCCAAGATCCCCTGGAAGCCCCAAATGGCTTTCCCCCTTTCTGCCAGAGCAACAGCCTGGGCAGCCCTGAGGGTGGTGGA